GTGTTTTATATAAAATATTTTATTGAACAAACAATACTTCTTTTTCCACGTTCATTCATTTGGTAATTATCATCATAACAATGTGTGATGACATTGTAGTGTGCATCTTCTATTAATTCAACTTGTTTTATCAAATATTCATATCCATCCTTTGTTGCTTTGATTTTCTCTCCAATTTCTTTCATGATATTCATTTCTTTCTGATAAAACTCCTCAACTTCCTTATCATTCTTTCCAATCATTTCATTAATAATTAGTCCAATATCATTTCTAATTGTTTTGTATGTTGTAGTTATTTGTTGATTTCCTATTTGGAGAGTGATAGTTGCCATGTTCTTTTTATGATTTATCAAGTTCTATCAACCAAAAAACAAAAATTTATCAATGACTTTTATTTTTGAGAAAAGAACTTCTCTATCTTCTTTTTCTCAATTTGCATCTCTTCTTCTTCATTTGATTCATTCTCCATATGTTTTTCTATTTTGGTTGTATTATATTTGAGAAACAAATAATAAAATACACATTGTGATATAATTAATTTGTTTATTTCTTTTATTCTATTCTATCATATTTACCAATATTGATATTCATTGTTATGATGATTAAATAGTTGTATATTCTCATAACATGTTTCACTATCTATTATGTCTATCATCATCAGTAATTTCGTTTATATTTTATTGTATTATCATTCATTTATATCGTCATATTTCTATTTCAATACAACTTTAATTATTTCATACTATTCAATGAAATAATATTAAACTCATTATAATGTAATTATCTGATATTAATCTTCATTTCTGATATGAATATAACAACAAAACAACTTTATTCAAATTTTTATTCACTGAACTAAGAGAATAAGAAATATATAATAATAAAGAAAGAATTAGAATATGAAACAATGATAATAATGATAATGTATTTTGATGATATTAATTTTTGTATTAATTTCAATTAAATTGATATTCAAGAGGATTATTTCAAAAAATAAACTATTTCATATTTATAATAAAGTGATGTATTATTGAAGATTGAAGAATATTTAGACAAATAATATTCATGGTATTTACAAAAGAAATAAGAATAGGAAGAATATAAAATATAGAATATACAAAATAAGAAATAAAAAATACAACAGAAATAGAAATAGATAAAGAAATAGAAATAGATATTTTAAATAATATTTTAGAATATTAAGAAATAATACAAATACAAATAATAAAACAAATGAATGATAATTTAAAAAAAATTCAAGATTAAAATAAATTAATATTTAAATATTAATTATTAAATTTAATATGAGTTATTTTAGAGAATATTAATGATTCAATCAATTAATATTAACTATAATAAATAGAACTAATATTTAAATATTTTGATTGATTAAATTAATGAAAATGTCAGTGTATCATCAAGAAACAGGAAATGGGTGTTTTTATAAATGATTATAATAATAAAGAGTAATACACTGACATATTAATGAAAGAATATGAAACTGAATTGAATAATTCATCATTAACATCAAATTGAAAGATTTAAAAGATGAACAGAAGAAATAAAGAATAACACCAAGAAGAATATAATATAGAAATGAAGTGATAAACAAACAAACTAGTTAATACAATAGAATGATGTTTTAATTGAAAATAAGAAAAAGAAGAAAGTATAATAACAAAAGAAGAAAATCAAATGATTATCTTAAAAATAAATGAAGTTCAAACTTAAAAAGACAATAAAAAATAAATATCAATTAATTAAGTCTAAATAGGATTAGCTTCTATTGTTCCTTTATCAGATAAGACTAACAAATTCAAAATATCTTCTTCAAGTATCTCTATTGAGTATGTTTTATTGTGATAGAAGCAGTATTTCATGATATTTATCATGTTTTGTATTACATTGTTTTTAATTTCTTTAAAAATGTCAATATCAATTTTTAATTCTTTAATTAATTTATTACTTTCTTATTTATTTGTCATTTATTTGTTTGTTTATATTTTTTTTCAAAAAAGATGCATTACAGGAGACACCACAAAAAATATAAAAAAATAAATAACCAAAAAAGAAGAAATTTACATCATCCAAGAAATATAAATGACAGAAGAATGAATGAAAATAGGTATTATCTGTATTGACAGAAATACATGAATAATCACACTAACCATTACAATAACAATTATAACAATAATTATCACAACATAGATGATACAAATCATTTCACTCATCACTTCATTCATAATCATCGTCATAAACACTTTAATAATAATAACAACTTCAATAGAAATAAACAATATTATCATAATAGAAATAAATACCATAATAACACTCAAAGAAGGTATAAACAATATCAAAATAAGAAACAAAACATAAATCAAAGAAAAGAAATCATTGAAATACAAAATCAAGAATATTGGAAAAGACTCTTTGAAGAAGAAATTAAAATACTTACACCACAAGAAG